AGTTATGCATGTATAAGTAATATGTTCTATTTTATGCAAGTCTTATATGATTAACCTTAATTATGCCCCATAAACATCCGGTGCTAATAAGTGCTCCACACACCATAATTTTTCACTGAAAGGTCGAGAAACTTTTACACATACCATTTTCAGAATAAAAAGAAAGAAAAACATCGGCAACTGCAACTAAAAGCAGTACAAAGGTCATGTCGTTGGACTTCAGGTATCGAGAAAACGACAAGTTTTGTTGGGACATATGCTTGCTGAAAAGGGAAAAGGAAGGAAAAGCATACCGAGAACAGTATTCAAACACTGAGAGCAATTAAACTATAGTATCCTTAAAATTGATGTATATCTATTGAATTAAAGATATCAAGGACAGAAAAACGCACTATATATGATAGTTTGCAATTGTAGAAAATCAACAGAAATTTGATGATGAGAGCTAAATTACTATCTATCATATTATGGTAATTCTTTTTTTAACCAAAAAAAAAAATTAGTTACTTGTGGGTTTTGTCCAAAAGAGTGAAAAAATAATGCAGAATGGTTAATACTTCATTATAAGGGGGGGACTTGAACGTGGTCCATGGACACGTGCAAATGATGGCATTGTCTACACTTGCTAATGATGGATTTCCACCGCTTCTTCCACTGCGTGGGTTCCACTCCTATCATGCGACCCAACTTCATTGCCCTTCTTTTTCTTTGACCGACAAAATACCCATTTCAAATCAATGTTGCTGACAATTTCGCTCATCAAACCTGTCTCACTACTACTACTACTACTCCTCCTCTCTGATCACCACAAATTATCAATGGTTTTTATATATGTGTGTGTATATACAAATAATTTGAATTTTGATGAAATTTTGTTGATATTTTTGGCCAAACACGTGGGAGTCACCCAATCAACTAGTTACACCTGTGGATGAGTTTGTCATGTTTCAAAATTCAAAGTCATGCCGTGAATCTATGATCCAATCAGCTCTTTGTCGCCATTTCTCATTCAAGCCCTTATTTTCTGAGCTTGACTAGGTCCCTAATTTTTGGTTTCCTATCCTTGCGTGCCACGTAGCGATTTCCCCACTATCAAACTGAGATTTAAATCTCCTTCTTTTTATTTTTATTTTCTAAATCTCTCCTTTTCGTTGGACAAAGATCATGACTATTTTAACCTAACATGTTTGAGATTCCATGCTTGTGCGTGTTTCCTTGTGTCACGGTCACCTAAATCTCTTCTAATCGGGTCATGTTATTTGTAAGGGGGAAAAAACATAGAATTTTTAATTATTTCTCTTTTTATGTTGATAGAATGGGATCGACAATGAGAAGCAAGAACATAGAATTTTAATTATTAGGCTCGGATAAAATGATTTACTCACTGAAGATTATATACACTTGTCATAAAATTAGAAGATTCTCTTTTGCCCCATAATTTACTGGACCCACAAGATTGGCTCTCGCTTAATTTTTCAATTCTTATCAATTTTTCATCTACCAAACAACCGAACATTACATTTTAATTGTCCAAACTCTTTCCTTTTTCTTTTCTTTCCTACTTCACGAAATATGACAATCAGAAATATCAATGTAATAATTAAGCACAGTAGCATGACTTGTTAAACATCTTTTAGCTTTAGTGGTTTCCATGCAGGTTTAGCCAAACTAAGCAGAAATTACAAAACATTAAAGAAAGTGATTGATCGCTTTGTTGTGTGATCATATAACAACTTATGTTATTAGGTACATTATAATGGCCACCTACCTAGCTAGTTGGCTATAAATAAAGAAAAATTTACGCGTAATATGCATATATAAAAATAGGAGATTATCGGTTGTGGGCCCCAATTATATATAAAGCTTTATATATTCAGATTATTAATGATAACTATAAGATTTAAAATAGATAGCACAAGATTGAATACATATTAATTATAAGAAAACTTTTAAGAAGCATTGTTAGACTAACTTCATAACTATCATCTGATTTAAATTATACAATTTAGATGAAAGACTCTTACGGTGGGGTTTTCGATATATAAATAGATAAGTGGAAAATTTAATATATGTTAATGTTGTCGTGATTGAAGGAGGCTGCAGTGAGGTGTAGATTACAGCACTAAATGGTGTGTAATATATGCTTACGTGAGTGAGGCCAAAAACATGGAATTAATTATGGATTCAAGCTCATAATCTTACATTTGTCAACACCGATATGATTATCCCTCGCAATTGCGTCAAACTAGCATGACACCTAGCCAATGGGATTAAAAAGTGTCGCCTTTTGAGATGATCCTAAAGTAAACAAGAGGCCCGGGGGTTAATTTTCACCGTGCAAATCATGCACTTACTCGAATACGACATTATCTTATGTAGAAGTAATTCCTAAAAGAAGATGGATTTTCGTCCCGATCAGATTAAAAAGCCATGCCAAAGAAAAAGAATGGCATCTTCCTAAGGAAAAGACAAGGAACAACAGAAAAATCTGTATGATCACAAGACCAAAGTACAACTAGTATATGGGGATCCGTTAGGAATGGCGCTTTGCAGGGCCAGCCAGCTTCACACAAATAGTATAAAGGGGATTAAAAGGCTTGCACGTGCCTTGCACGTGTGAGCTCATGAAGGGAATTTATTTAAGGGATAATTATTTATAAAAAAAAAAAAAAAACATTTATACTATTAGTACTGTGTTTTTTTTTTTAAAAAAAAAAAAAAAAAAAAAAAAAAAAAAAACTATTGCCGGAACTACTCAAAGAGTCATGAGGATTGTCCACTGTTTATAGGTTACTAGTCAGTAATTGTTTCGTAGACTTTAATTCAAACTAAAGTAAAGAATTTTCACTTTACATCGTACCATAAAAGTTAACATTAATTCTCCCCATATATAGCTAGCTCTTATAAAAAACTCCCCGAAATTCTCTCAGCATCTCGTCCTTTACGTAGCAATATTTTCAGCCTAGTATGACTTGGTGTCATGGCAAAGAATAACTTTGGCCCAAAATATTCATGTTATGCGTGACTGTGGCACATGGAAAGCTAAGGACGGGTTGAAGAATGGATAAAAGTGAGATCCTCCGAGATTTGTTGTCCAAGTAAAATCCACATATATAGGCAACTCAAAACATAATGAGCTGTTCCGCAACTTAAACCAGCGACGTCCAAAATACCAAGTAGCTATCATGAATTGTCAGGGTCATGTTTCTTTCCTTAGTCTATGTTAAGGTCGGGGGAGAAGGAGAAAGAGTCACATCATGCCCCGTAACCGAATCTTCACTCAACAATATCCACATCGCATACCACGTATATATTACCTGCATTTCTACAAGAGTTAGTCTTAGGACACCAACTTTAATCTAAATTTTGTACATCAATTTACGCGGTGTGCTACAATCTTTAACGCCTACTAATACAACATTTTTTCTTTTCTTTTTAAACTTGTGGTGGGGATCAAACTCTACACGTTATGGTTGAATCATGTGTGGAGTTATCGTTAGGCTATACCTGCAATCATAACTCATTTATAACATTATTCTTTTCAAAAAATGTATAATTATATATCTAATTACGTGTGTGTGTATATATCATTGCTTGATATTAAATTTCACAATTCCCTTTTGTTACATTCACATTTCTAGTGTTGAAATTGCTAATCAACCTCCTAATACCATTTCAAGACAAACATTATTTCCAATTGCCATTTTGGAAGGGAAGACTGAGACTAACATTTTACATTTTCACTAGTGTCTAACCCCATATATATAACACATGTGCATGCCTATTTAAAGACAAATTTTAGTTTAGGTGTTTATATAATTAGTAGCAAAAAAAAACTAAAATGCATTGGAGATATGCACCTTTATTATTATTTATTATTATTATTATTATTATTATTATTTTGCTGGTCGATATGCACCTTTGTTTAGACATCTCTAGACACCCCCTAAAAAAAGTTTTCTTTTTTTTTTCTTGATCATCACAGTATGAACCCCTCATTGTCATAATTGGACATTAACACACCGCAGGAGTTTGTGATTATTCCTCACGACTACATTTCTGGAGTGCAGCACGTGCACCGCCACACGTGTTCCGTTCAATCTGTTTGTCCCAAATAATCCGTGATTGCAATTATATGATATGGAAAACCCTGTGATGTCCAGTTTTACTAAACAACTCATCATTCCAGGTGGAACCAGGAATATACATTTCCCCCCAGTTGGAAAATACGTAATTAGGCATGAGACAAATGTACACCATATGGTGGTTAAAATCACTTTCAAAAGTGGGATTTGGTTTTGTTGGTTTTATTTTATTTTATTTTTTTATATGTATAGGCATATTATAATATTGTACTGTTTGGGAAATTGGAGCTACAGTATTGCCCAAATTAAAAAGAAAAAGAGAAAAGATGTTGGGATATGGCATTCAGAGAGAGAGAGAGAGAGAGATCAATTCCAATTGGGTTTTGTACGTTTAAATATTTTTCAAACATTCTATACCAAAGAAAAAGACGACGGCATTCACTTCTCATATCCGTATCTTGAAAAGCAAAGAGGGGTTTTCCCATGTTCGCGTTTAGGGATTGGAGGGACCTTTTTTCTCATTCCCTCTCTTTTCGCTTTAATAGTGAAATTAAAAAAGCTTAGAGAGAGAGAGAGAGAGAGAGAGAGAAATGAGAGAGAGAGTGAGAAAAATCAGAGAGAGGCCACCGAAAAGCATGTACACCTTATCATGAAAGCAAGAAAAAAACGATCCGATTTGACGGGCCAACCCACACGCACATACACAAACACCACACGATCCCTCTCTCTCTCTCTCTCTCTCTCTCTTACTATATCTCTTTTTGCCCTTGTGTTCTTTTATATTTCTTTGCTTAAAAAATATATGTGGAGAAATCCCAAGTCAACCTCACCTCATCATTTGGTCTTGGTTATCCCAAGCACCACCTCATTTCCCACTTTGTGACTTTAATCGTACACTTTTGCTATATAACCAGGGGCTCGTTTGGTGATCCAGTCCTCCACCCATGGGAAGCTGCAGCAGCATGAAGGTTCATCAATTCGCACGTGGACTCTGGGAGGCTCACGAACCCTCCCTCACTCTTGGCTGCAAGCGCTTACGCCCTCTCGCTCCCAAACTCCCCAACTCTCCTACTTCTTCTACTACTCTTGACACTCACAATATTACTACTACTGCTATTTCTACTTCCCCTAACTCATCCATCGCTCCTTTCGATCTCAAGAGCTTCATCAGACCTGAAAGCGGCCCCCGCAAAACCGGGTCCTCCGACGTCGACAAGAAAGACTCGCCTCCGGTATACATATCTCCACACCCTATTCTCCATGCAAGCAGCCTAGTAATATACATGTTACAACAACTTAACTAATTTTGAGTACAAACTGTTAACAGCGTGAGACAGTTTTTACTGCATGCCGTGTAGCATTGTTTTCTTTTGAAAATTTAGGATTAAGGTACGATGATGTTTGCGATGGCTGCGCAGGTTGAGACGCACCCGGGAGGGACACGGTGGAATCCAACGCAAGAACAGATAGGTATACTGGAGACTCTGTACAGGGGAGGAATGCGCACTCCTAACGCCCAACAAATAGAGCAAATCACGGCTCAGCTCAGCAAGTTTGGGAAGATCGAAGGAAAGAACGTGTTCTACTGGTTCCAAAACCACAAAGCCCGCGAGCGACAGAAGCAAAAGCGCAACAGCCTCGGCCTCAGCCACAGCCCCCGAACTCCTACTCCCATCACCATAGCTAACTTGGACATCTCTAGGGTACGAACGTACTTTATAATATTTAGTATTTTTTAACATATATATATATATATATATATATAAACATCAAGCCAATTATAATTAGTTAATGACATGCATATATATGTTAAAATTGTGTAGGGAGACGTGGAAAGAGACCGGGAAGATAGTACTAGTCCGTACAAGAGGAAGTGCAGGAGCTGGGGATTTGAATGCTTAATGGTAGAAGATCATAGTAGTACTAGATCATTATATAATAACAACTATAGACCAGAGGAGGGAGATAGAACTCTGGAGCTTTTCCCACTACACCCGGAAGGCAGATGATCATGATGAGGGGGAGTTTTCGGGAAATAATAACAATTCTTCCTCATCATATTATTTCTCAGCTTTTTTTTTTTTTGGTTATGCGGCCAGGCCAGTCTGCCATGATCAGATGTGCTTTTATTTCCTTTTTCTTTCTTTCTTGGCTTCGGGAAAGAAGAAAGAGAAGTTGTCTCTCTCTCTCTACTCTGCTAGCTAGCTGCCTTATTGGAACCAAAGCGCGCTTTGTCAATTGTCATTTCGTGATCTTTATTCCAATTTGATCTCTGGTGGGTGTTACCGTGTGTGTGTGTGCCATGCATATACACATATAAATATATATATATATACACACACACACACACACACACACATATATATCTCCTTTTTGAGCTTTGACTAAATCTACAGAAACAAGAACAACCAACTTTGGCTTATCATCACATCCAAGAAGCTCTTTTAGGTTAAAAGCGAAAACCTATCGAAACACTGAAGTCCACGCACCTACTACTACTTCCTCTTGATCTTTCTATATTAACCCTATAATACCCTTTAATTAATTTGTTTTTCTTTAATTAATTAGTGTTAATAGTTCAAATAAATTTGTTGTGAGACGTTGAAAGGGAAGCGTACTATATGTCTTCGAGCCTCCATTTTTCCAAACGATCATGAAATTCAACATTATTTAATTGGCCACTTATATGACTTTCATAAAGGTGGCATATCGTTAATCGAGGGACATGCATTAATTGTTTTAATATTCTGAAATCATTGACATGCAAGCTTCAATTTTTTTTATTTTGATTATTAAATTTTGCAAAGGGAAACAGATAGTGTTTGGTGGGTCCAATGTTTTAACTGTGCCGATGATTATGAGATGAGATTCGGAGGGAAAGGAAGATCATGAAATTTAAAATAGGAAGATATTTGGCATCATTTAATTATGACAATACCTATTGGAAATCCAATAAATTAATTAGCTCATTTTTGGATTTTGAATACAATATCATTGCCACCACTCCTTTTCGTTTAAAAAGTTATATTTTTTCGTGATCACTTGGTTTAGTAGGATGGACTTTTTATTTTGACTAATTTTGTAACGTGCTCCATATTATTGTATTGAAAACATTTAAAGAGTTTATTGTTTATTAAATAATGAGAAATTCATTTATTATATGAAAATTGAAAAAGACATGTATGCAATTGGCCGAAGTGAAGAAAGTTTCTATTATAGGTAAGGTATATTGACTATATGTAACAGAAATATTAATATTAACAGTGGATTATCAAATCATGCATAATTTTAAAATGTTCTGGTTTGAAAATATATAAAGGAGCACACAAATAATTATAGATTTTGAAAACAAGTGATCATGACGGCTGGGCATGAAGAAAATTTCTTAGAAGTTCAAAATAAATTCCTTTTTCACTCCCAATGTGAAGATGCCAAATGTGCTATAATTAGTTTTTGATGTATATGTATATATGTTCCGAAAATTCAGTATTTGATCTCATAAAAATTATATAAATACTCGTTTGAAAAAAGATGTACGCATAATCTTAATGGTAATTACACATTTGTCTCCACCACAAGTTCACTGATATTAATAATAAGAATACAATGAATGAACAGTAGTTTCCCAGATTAAAAAGTCTAAAAAAAATTGAGCCATGATTTTCTATTTGTGGCTGACAGATCAGGGCAAGCACACAAAAAACACCTTGGTCAAATCTGTTGTCAGTTTTTGTCTTCTAAGCCTAAATTTAAATATTTTAATTTTGTAGGTGTCAATAGTTAATTGAGAAAAAGAATACTGCCAGTCCAAAAATAAAAACTCAATGCCATTAAAACCTACGATTAATTAGGATCAGTTTAGTTCGTTAAATAATATCATATTTTTAACTTTAAATAATTATTTTTTCTAATTTATCTTATTTTTTCACTTTTTATTCTCATTTCTTCTCTCTCTCTCTCTCTTCCCTTCTTCTCCTTTCTCCCTCTTTTTCTCCAAATCTGCTCACTACTTAGATGCTCGCAAACAACTCTAACCAGATCGCAGCGACGACGACGAGACGCTAACCACCAAGCACAGTCGCGATCACCGGAAGCTGCACCTCCAATCTCGCGAATTTCTCCCTCTCTCTGCCATCGTGTTCTCCAAAAATCGCGCCTCCGGTCTCAACAACTTCAATCTCTCTGTCGTCGCAATCTTCAGAACTTCGTAGCACGCGACCCTTTCTTTCTCTGCCGTGTGACCTCCGGAACTCACACCTTCAAATCTCGCGAATTTCTCTTTCTGTGCCTTCGCGCTCTCTGAAACTCACGCCTCCGATCTCACAATTCTCCTTCTCCGTTGTCATAGATCGGTTCCAGGAACTCGCAACCTCTGTCGCAAAGTAAATCCTGTCTAGACCCCACCACTGTGAACTTTTTCGGTGCCGTATGAAAAGGCCAATACATTTTCTTGAGTTTTTTGGTGTATTTTGCTGAGAAGGCCAAATATTTTTTTTTTTGTGTGTTTTTCATGATTTATGTTGTTTTTTATTGTGATTATGAGATTGAGATTGTGCTTTTCTGAATCTGATTTTTCTTGTGAATTTTATAGTTCTATTTCTAGATCTAAATGAATTTTTGGTTTTTGTAAATATGGCTTTATGAGATTTGAAAACAATTTTAGTTATGATTGTTGTTATCTTTTTTGTGTATTTTTTATGTTTCTGGATGTTTTTATTTGTGATTTGATTTGGGAGAGTTTCTGGACTTTTGAGAATATACTGTATTTTCAAGTAAATATTTTATTAAATCCTATTCCAAATCTGGTAAATATTGTATTTAACAATAAATACTTCATTAAATTCAATTTTGAATTTGGTAAATATTGTATTTACCGGTAAATGCTTCACTAAATTCAAGTTTGAATCTGGTAAATATTGTATTTATTAGTAAATATTTCACTGAATTCACTTCTCAATGTGGTAAATACGATATTTACTAGTAAATATGGTGGTAAATAGTCGTCGGAGCCGGTCGGTGAATTTTCAGATAAATATGGTACCTACTGTATTTATTGGTAAATCTAGTAAATATGGTATTTATTAGTAAATATTATATTTCCTGATAAATACGGTATTTACCAATCGCTGAAGCCGGCCGTCAGGAGCCGGTCGCTTGAGCCGGTAGCCAACAGCCGGAGCCGATCATGACGGACTTGACTATAAGGAGAAGAAGAAAGAGGTGAAAAGGAGACTTAGGTGTATTTTTGAGTTAATATTTATAACTTAAAATATCAAATTATGTTATAATCTATCATTTAAAAAAATGTTATAATTTACTAAACATCCTACTATATATGTTATTTTCCTCTTTATCCCCATAAATATCATTAGAAGGACGATTTTCTTCTTATATCTCGCTCTTTTCCCGCTCTCTTTTCCATTCACATATAAATTATTTGGATACTGAAAAAGTAAGCGTATAAATGTGAAACACTGAAACTTTCCCTTTAGAATATTAGGGTTGTCCTTTGGTAATTGGCGGCTTTGCCATGTTTTTCAGGCCGAAACTACAAAGACGACAATGAAAGTGAAATGTCCTAGAGTTTACAATATGAATGAAAGGTTTGCCATTGCGGGCTCCAACCACAGCGTGACCGCATAAATTGACTTGTCATATAGATATAATACATGTTTGTTTGGGAAGACCATTATATATATATATATATATATATATATGTACATCATAACTTTTCCCTATCTACATAGCCCCCAATAGTTCCACAGTTTTTGTTTGATGAACTTGACCTCGTTTTCAGTGGTTGAAATCACAAATTTCATGCCAGATCACTATATATCAATCAAATAATTAAAGAGAAAGAAATATCTGGTCTATTTCAATATTTCTTGTTGTCATACCCTAATATGGAAATAATTATAATTAGTAACGAGTATTTCGTGATCCTCTAGCCTTTGTGCTTACTTGTTAGATAACATTTAAGGATGAAGATATACTGTCCCGTAATGTTGTGATCAATATTTCTTGTACCGTAAATTAAAAAATGACATCAATTTCACGACATTCTTAACCTATATTTTTTTCATACTTCTTTTATTTTGTTGTGATATTAATTAAATTTAACTTTCAAAAACATGTATTACTGTAGGGTATAAAATATTGTAGAAGGCGCTCCTTAAAATTTTTGTTTTTTGTTTTTTTGTTTTTTTGTTTTTTTTGTTTTTGGTTTGTATTTGGGGTGGAGAGATTTGAATAATGAATGTAAATACTGTTAGCTTATATTACAGCCACGTAATCACTAGGTAAATTGAAACTCATTGAGTTCGTGGAAAAATATTATAAGGCCGACATTTAATTTTCCAACTTCATTATTTTTATAAGAAAATTAAAAACAAAAGTAGGCCTACTTCTTGGCAATTAATATAAGTTTTTGGAAGACCAATATAGGGTATATTTAGTAGTGCATTTTGAAGCTCAAAATAATTTTTTTTTAGCAATTAATAAAAACAAAAAAAAATAATTAAAAAAAATTTATAAAAAATCTATCACCAAAATCAGAAACGGATAAATGCCAACTTCTGATTTCAGATCATGGGACAATCTATTCCTATTCTTATGATTAATGAAAATTTTATAATATCCTGAATAGCCCTGATGAATTTTCAAAATGCCATTATTGTCCTATCAAATCCTAACACATTAGACCTTTCCAGAACAAAACTTTCTCCTCCAAATTCAACGGCTGTCTTCCCAGTGCTGTTGCCATCGTAATTTTGAGCGCCCTTGCGTATTCGCCGTTGCTTTGCGACCGTTTTGCCGGAATTTGTAAGTTCAGAACCTTTTCTCTCTCTCTCTAAGCTCTTCTTTTCTGGGTTACTCTCCTTCAAGTTTTATTCATTTCATTTGTGATTTGGGATTAGATTTGGATTGGTTGGTTGTGTTTATTAATTGGTTTACATGTTTGTTTCTTCTTCTTCTTTTTCTTTTTCTTTCTTTTTTTTGTTGTTGCTATTTTTGTATCTCTGTTCCTTCTTCTTTGTTTTGTTTTGGCTATTTTTGTATTCTGCTATGAAGAAATGGGAAGTTCTTGATCAACAATTGCAAGTTTAACTTTGATTGAAAAATAGGCCATGAAACTTCAGATAGAATATTAGTTTATGTATTTAGAATCATGATTCAGAATCATTCTCGTTTTACGTGTATTTTTTATAAGAGAAAATACTATAG